TTAATATTCATCATCTACACTCAAAGAATACTGTCAAACACTAATAACAACGTTGAGAATAATAGTCTTTAGTAACCGAACACGCTTTTCAATCGATTCAAGATGCAAATAGCGTCATATCCTAGTTGATACTACTGATACAGTTCAGATAAAATCTACTATCATTATCAAAGATAACTCTTACACCTATTGTCTCACATTGTGACTTTTCCGTTCTTATTTTCATTATCATACGTACGAAATTTAAATTTCTTCTGCGTTTATTGCTGTCAATACAATCTGTCACTACTCCTATTATTTATAATAAATACAGAAAGCAACAGATGCCACCACCCACACTACACATACTCATACTTCAATCGGTGAAAAGAATTAGGCATGTTTGACTCTCATTAATCCTATTACAAAAAATTAAAAAAAAACAATTATCAACTGAATTAATCAACTTCTGACTTTTACCTTGAAAAAAACGAGAAAGTGAATATGAAACAATAAATTCGTACGGTCTAAAGTTTTGAAATATAGTTCGTTGTTGTCTTTTGTCCAAATTGAATAACGTTGTGTGAATATTTAGCAAAGACCATGCTCATGATTGTAAAATCATAATGATTACCAGAAAAAAAGATTGTTTTGAAGAAAGATTCTTCTGTTTTTTGCTCAAAAACTCTATATATACACAGCAAAAACGAACTGTTTTAATAAGAAGAATGACTCTTAAGATATTCTCTATCCTTCTTACTGTATCATTTTCTAATGAATGTCTATACTTTAATCTATATGTGAGTGTGATAAACGAATTAGAATGACAACGATAATTGAACGAAATGAAATGAGAGATTATATTTCTTTTAACAACAATGGTCTCCTCGTATAATTTACAAATCTTTTATAGTCAATAAAAAAAAAAGAAAAAGAGGAAAATAATAAAAAGCAAATATGAACATATTTTTTTCTCTTGAAGGCATTATTCCACTTAACACATTTGATGTGACGTGATACTGTGTACTATTACTTCAAAGTAATCAAATATATTATGGTAATCAAATGAAGAGTTTGCCTTCAAACTCAAGAGAAACCATTGAACTTGCAAGTGTTGCTTATGCAAAAGGTCAAATGAGGATATTTATATTTTCGACATAAGCATCATTTGTGTATGCAAAGTCTCAGCGCTAAACTACTTTTCTTATACGAGAAATAAATATAGTCTTTACGTGGTATTTCAAGATACGTCGTATACACTTATATTTAGTTCCACTTGATTTCTTTGTCGCAACTATTCTAGTCCCACTTAACCACCCCCCTACCCGCTGGGTCAGAAATGTCGATTTTCGTCAAAAATATTGATTTTGAGAAAAGTACATGGTTGTATAGCCCTAAGTGTCTACTTTCTAATGACATATTTTTGAGTCGATAGGACAGGTTTTTCATAGATTTTGAACGAGTTTTCCAGAAGCCCTATAGAACAAAAAATGGCTTTTTTGCATTTTTATTGCATAAGTTCATGCATGTGTCGCACATGTCCTTTAGTTCCGCCATAACCGATAATCTCTAGCAAAGTCACAACAAATTATTTAACACTCAAACAGTTTTTAAGTAAAATGCATTCAACAGAATCAAACTTATTTTGTGTTTTTCTCTAGGCTGTGTTTTAGCTTCAGGGCTTTCGCCACGCACAGGAATTTTCGATAACGATACATCGGAGAAAGGAAATTTTTTTTTTATTTGTAGATAACACCTATAGCATGGAGTTGTCAGAGTCCGATTTTTAAATTATGCTTCTATTTTTTATAGAAATGCGGATTTCTAAGAAACTTTCTAAGGATTGTTGGGACTTTAAAGTTCTGTTAAGCACCAGAAATCAGCAGATGAGAAATTCATATCGCCGACAAAAAATTAAAGTTCATTTAGAGTTAAAGAAAAGTGCTTTTTCTTATTCAGCACACTTGATAATCTGGAAAATTTTCTATTTTTAGCGAGGGGTATCGCCAAAAAGTTAAGAAAAATTTTCAAACAAATTGACTCAGAAAAATCCCAGTGGTAAAATTATACAGTTTTGAAAATTTTTCTTAACTTTTTGGCGATACCCCTCGCTAAAAATAGAAAATTTTCCAGATTATCAAGTGTGCTGAATAAGAAAAAGCACTTTTCTTTAACTGTAAACAAACTTTAATTTTTCTTATCTGTGATATGCGAAAATCGGGCTCTGTCAACTCCTAGGCATAGGTGTTTACTGCAAAACTGAAACTGCCCAAGCTTTCTATCATTTATGTGGAATAGGCCTGTTGTGGCGCCCTCTGCACGAACGATTGCTAGTGGCGCTAAAAAAATGTCACTACCACACTTTGATATGGTCAACATTCCCTGAAACTTTGGTTCAGATCAGGCCTACCTGGACTGAGATAGATTTTTGACCCGGGGAGAGGGGAAGGGCTAAATAAAATATTAATGTCACGCTAGATGAACACCAGAGAAAACAAAAATTTGTCACTTTGTTATCTAACAGATAAAATGGATATCAAAATGTAGACAAAACCTAATTCGACGATCATTTTATCAGTTTTTCTCTTCCATTTAAAACAAATGTAATAATAGCAGCACTGTACATAAATAAATTTTTATGAGTAGTACTTACTTGAATAAGAGAGGGGAAAAAAAGTCAATAGGAAGAATCTAACTTACAGTATAAATGACATTGTATATTCTATGTTTTATTTTACTGTTCATGATTGAAGTGTATCACTATCACAAAAATATTACATGTTCTAATTTGCTGTCATACGGTCAAGGATATCTCTCTGTTCTCTTCTCTTTTTTTTTCTGTCTTATAATCCTATTCAAAAATATAATTGTGTTCTTGATCTGCAATGGCTTCTTGCCGCTGCTACTATAATGACATTCTTTTTAGATAATTCAAGGAACAAAATTTTGAAAAAAAAAATAATTAAAAACCTTGTTAAAAAAAAAACGTAATAGATGACATTGGCAATCGATGAAAAATTTTTTTTTATTTTACACCTTTCTTTAATGACAAAAAAAAAGAAGATTTCAGTGAGAATCCGGTAGACATGTTAACAAAATGATATATTTTCTTTGATGTAGTCTCTACATAAGCTCTGTCTGATGCTTAAATCTCACTACAATTAAATTTGACAGAGTTAAAAGGCATCTATTCAGTCTCAACCAAAACGATTGTTGCGCTTATGAGAAAAAAGAGAAAATCGCGCACAGCACTGTTTTAAACCCTGTTTTCTTCCTTTAGGAGCGCAAACTACGAAATAAATAAAAAATACATGATAATTTTAAAACATCTCATTCTCTCACAAATTTGAATAAACACAACATAAAATACTTTAGAGCATCTTCACGCTACTTCTGATCGTAGAAAAAGGTTTCTGATGAATTTTGAGATATTATAAAAAATGGAGCAGCAAAATATATTTCTGATTAAAGCAAGACATCTACCAATTTATATGAGCAATGTTTCTGTCAAAATTTATGTTTTTAGTCCGCAGCTTGGATTTTTTTCTACTTCATTTCATCGTAGAACAATGATTTTCTTTCTCATTTGTTAGACAAACCCGTTGTCTACGTCCAAATAGTCTTTGTTTTTGAAATAGGTTTTTTTAGTGTATGTACACAGCAGAATTTCAAACAATTTTCACTACATAGTCTAAATTCTGGAATCTCCACAGAAAACATTTATATTTCTACCAGGGATTTGTAGACACAGAGCACGGTTAGAATTACAAAGACAAAATTTTTATTTGTCATTCTTTATCAAGAAACCGATTCAATCGAAAAAGTGCTATTTCTATTTTTATAATCTGCTTCTTCGAATTACAGAGCTTTTCCTATCGCAGACAGGTACAAAACAACACACAACTATTCTATTCTACAAAGTTTTGCATATTTATAGTCACTCCTATATCACAAGTTATATAAATTCATAAGTTGCTAACAAAGATAGTTAAAATACTTGCATACTGAACATTATTCTAAAGTGTTTTACGATCAATTTTAACGGCATATAATAAATAAACTCGTACATATCATATCTTTTTTATTTTTGATAAATACGTCTAATTTTTTTTTTTTTGAAAATAAGACGACTCATATGAATAAATCATTGTTATTACAATCGATGCAATTTATGAGTTGACTACAAATGGTTTTTTTTTCTCATTTTTAATTTTAAGTTCACTAAAATAGAATAAGATAGAAATAACAAAGCATAGCAGCTGCCAAAGTAACTTCAATGATGGCTATCTCGAAGAAATTATTATTATCTACATATTAAGATCTTGTAAATTTATCTGGTATTTCAGATTTTGTTGGACGGGTAAAAGTATCTTCTGAATCATGTGTACAAAGAATATGCTAAGGAAAAATAAATAATGAATCAGAAAAGTGGAAGTTACGCAAAGCTAATACACTGACTAGTTCAAATAAAAATATATACTAAGAAAAAGACTGCTACCATTATGGCAGTCTCTTTGTGAAAACAGTATTCGAACTTCTAAGTGAAAAAAATTCATGAATAATTTTCTTTCTTCCCTTTGACCATTGATCATATTGTTTCATTTCAGCGTCGATTATCTAAAATAAATAGTAAAAAAAAATATATATTCGACTAAATGAAAAAGTAGTGATTAATGTCATCTACATTCGTTGTTTTGTGCTCCAATTGTGTGTATTGCGCCACAATTGAATGAAAACCAGAATGAACTACAAACAATATTTGTTACCAATTGAATACTATAACGTTATTCTCCGTTGTAAACATGAGATAACACTGTCAATATTTCTTGAAAAATAAAGAAAAATATAAATAAACAAAATTGTGTATATTGGTCTATGGGGAAAAAAATATGACTAAAAACATATTAAGCATGTTAAAAGTATGAAATATTTATGCATAGAAAAACTACATTATATGAGATGAATGAAGATCAAATTAGGGGTGGCGCTTTACCGTTTCTTTACAGGTAACGCAGTAACGCATGCGTTATTGCGTTACTGGTAACGAGTAACGCATGCGTTACTGCGTTACCAGTAACTACTAACGAGATGCGTTTATTTTTCATAGCTTTTGTAACGAGTAACGCAGCGTTACTTGCGTTACTTTAACGCTTTTTTGCGTTACTTTTCTAGTAACGCAGTAACGCTTGCGT